TGAGCGAAATGGTCGGAGGGAGATCCGTGAGTGGCGAGGAGTCCTCGAGGGGCTGTTGCGACTAGGGATGGCAAACGAGCGGGTTGGGTGCAGATACGCCCTCCCCCATCCCCATACCCACCTAATATTTTCCAATCCACCACCCGCCCACCATCTATAATGGGTAAAAATTTTCAAATCCACACCCGTACACGCGGGTACATTCTCAAATCCATCCCTACACCCATTACCCAACTGGAGACGTACTCAGCTAGACCCGCTTGACAGCTAGGGTGTGCAAAAAAATCCGATCCGTTGATCCAATCCAAAAATTTGAATATCTGATACGTTTTCAATTTTCGGATAGATCGGATCGGGTATCCAAAATATTTTTTCGAATAACCGGATCAGATACGATTGATAAAAAACCATGTTCGGATTATCTGAAAACCCGAAGAAAATTTTGGGCTATATTTGAAGACCAGAGGAGGTTTTCGTATAAGGCGTGGGCACGACTTATTCATCTTGAGCTATCGCAGAAGAAGTCTGCAATTAAGGCGTGGGCACGTCTTACCAGTCTGTATAACCCTAAATTAGGGTTACGAGTTTACAAGGGAAAATGAGTTTAATGATAGTTGAAAGACTCTATTGAATCATTCTTATCTTTAAAAAATGACGAGGGTATTCAAAACCCCTATTTGGTGGGATTTACTTTGAAGAAACTTCCTTATCTAGAATAGGACAATCCTTATCAAAATAACGGAGTATTGACTATTGGCCTTGTATCTTGAACATAACTAAGAGGATTAAATATGAAAACTAGAGTATTCACCTTACGACAAAATAAAGCGGCCACAAACAACTTCGATGCAACAAATAAGATTGGGGAGTGGTTTTGGATCTGTGTATAAGGTGACATACAACTCTACTACCCGCAGAGGAGACCAGAGTAAAGAAGAGGAAGAAGGCATACATGAATGAGCTGGAGACCAGAGTTTGAAATTTAGAGAAGAAGAACTACCAGAATATCGGCGCAGTAACCAGCAAGCAAAGCACAAGAGGTTTGAAAGAAAAAAATTGATTCATAAACTTATCCCTAATATTTGGTTAAATTATAAGTTATATCTTATACAATATTAAGATTTATAAATTAGTCTATAAAATTATACCTAAATTCATAATGGTCCAAAATTTAATGGATATTTAGTGGGCGGGCGGATGCGGGGTGGGTAAGATCTCAAACCCATCACCCACCCACTACCCGCGACGGGTACCACTTTCTAAATCCACACCCGCCTACTACCCATTAAAGTTATAGGCGCAAATCCATAAAATTGTACCTGTTTGCCGTCCCTAGTTGCTGCGTTGAAGACTGGCTTGCCAGGGTTCTGGAAACCCTAGCCCTGGGTTGGTTCGGGTTGGGGACTTAGACCCGGTTCGGGGCTCTAATATTGGCTTTGGGTCGCTTGGCTTGTAATGTTGGTTATTATTGGACCTGAATGTATCCAAATAATAAAACAAGTTAATATATTGTAACGTGTATATGTAATAAAACATGCTAATGTATAATAATATGTAATGTGTATATATAATATTATATATATATATATATATATATATAATATATATATATATATATATGCTACGTAACGGCATAAAATATATATTATAAAATAACATAAGGGCGAAAATGTGTCTACATTAGTTTTTAAATCTATTTTTATAATCATATATAATTGTAAATTTAATTTTTAAATATTAATTATATTTTTTATTAAAATAAAATATTTGATTAAATTATTAGTTAACTTAAAAAATTATTTTAAATTTTTATTATCATTATTTAATACAAATTTGAATATTTTAATAAAAATATTAATTAAGGTAAATTTAACTCATAACTACTTAACTATTTTTAATATCTTTAATAAAACTATTTTTAATAAAAAAATTAAATGAAATCTTTTTAACTTATATAATTGTTGAGTTCAAATATTTTATTTTTAATAAAATTTAATTAGATATTAAACAGTATTGTACATCCTTTTTTCCCCTTCCATTAGTTAGAATAGATAATATAAAATATGTTTTAATTTTTGACCAGTAAACAGGTTGGTTTGGTGGTTTCATGCATGTTTGTTATTACTTTGAACTTGGGTTCGATTTTTCTATGGTGCAAATCTCTCTTTATTATCATTTCTTTAATTTATTTTCTGTCAATCGATGGTAACATGTCATAATTTGAGTGGATAAAAAATTAAATAAAATAAATTAAAAATTAATTTTCAATCACGTAGTGACATGTGTCATTATCTAATGGGAGATTCAATTTATTAAAATTAAATTAAAATATTACCTCATTAATAAAATGTATAAATATTAAAGATCAAATATGTAATTATACCAAGTCTTTTAACTACATCACACCTCTTCCTTTAAAAGTTAATGACTAGTAATTTAATTGAAACATTTAAATAGTTTGTTGGTCTGACTGATCAAATTGAAACATCGTGGTTAAAGTGAAAAGGAACAATAGTTGTGTAGTCACTAGTGTAGTTTATCTTTAAAATATTTGATATAATTATACATCTGGTCACTCTTGCTTAAATATGTATTTATTTGTCCTAATTTTAATAAATTAAATTAAACTTAATCATTGAATCAAATGAAACCATGTATCATTATCAAAATTGAACGATTAAATTAAATTTATTTTTAATTCAATATATTTGCTTTCTAACAGTCGGTGACTTCAAGGGGATTCGGACAAGTGCTTTTGGTTGATAATAGAAGCTCTCAATCGTTGTGCCAAGTGGCTTTTTTGGTGTAAGATATACAATATATTATATATATTATGTACTATTCTATAAATCTTTTATATTTTATATATTTTAATCTAAATTCACGCACTAAATTAAATTCACATCTTAATATTAAAGAAATGTATTTAATTTTTCTTAACTTATTAGATATATTTTATTTTTGTTCTAATATAAAAAATATATTTTAATCTTATTTTAACTTTAAAATATATTTTAATCTTATCTTAATTTTAAAAAATAAATTTAAATTTAAATTCACGTATTAAAATTATTAAAAAAATATAATTTATTGTTTTCATAACTTATTAAATATATTTTAATTTTATTTTAACTTAAAAAATATATTTTAATCTTATTTGAACTTATAAATATATTTTATTCTTATCTTTATTTAAAAAATATTTTTAAATTAATTTACTTATTAAAATTTAAAAATATATTTTATCTTAAATTATTAAATATATATTATTTTTATTTTTATTTAAAATATATATTTAGTCATATTTTAACTTTAAAAATATTTTATTTTTATCTTAACTTATGAAATATATTTTACTTTTTTAAATTTAATATATTTTTAAAAATTAAGATAAGAATAAAATATATTTTTAAGTTAAAATAAGATTAAAATATATTTTCTTAAGTTGAAATAAAAATAATATATATTTAATAAGTTAACAATAAAATGTAATAGAATTTTTAATATTAGAATGTAAATTTAATTTAGTATGTGAATTTAAATTTAAATATATAAAATATTAAGAATTTACACAGTGACGTACCTAAACCCCGAACAAGTAACTCTGCTAAAAAAACATGTGTGTAAATTACATATTTAATCACTCAATTATTCATATGATTTTATTTTGCTCTTCAAACTATTATTCTTTTCAAAATCATCATTAATAAGTTTTTGTTCTGTTTTGGTCACTCAATTCAATCTAATTCATTTTAATTTATTAAAATTAGGACCAAATTAATATAATATGCAAGTAAGAGTGACCAAACTTGTGATTATACCAAAATTTTTAACTGCCATGTCACCATTTCTGTTAACTGTTTTCGACTAGTGGGACCAAATTTGTGATTATACCAAAATTTTTAACTGCCATGTCACCATTTCTGTTAACTGTTTTCGACTAGTGGTTTGATTGGATACAATTAAATAGTTATGTGCCCTGTTTGACAAAATTGAAAGATCGGTGATAAAATAAAACGACTAAATAGTTGAGTGGTCAATAGTATAGTTTACCCTATAATATATGACAACTTAAAGGCTTAAATGCACCATTGTCCCCTAAACTATACCATTTGTACCAAGATGCCCCTAAAGTATTCTTCGGGACGTTTGCCTCCTAAAGTTTAAATAATTTCCTCATTTGCCCAAACAATAAACTCCATCAAAAACACGTGGGTAAATTACATATTTAGTCACTCAACTATTCATACGATTCTATTTTGGTCTTCAAACTTTTTTCTTTGCAAAATCATCATTAAACTTAAGTTTTTGTTTCGTTTTGATCACTAAATTCAATCTAATTTATTTTCATTTATTAAAATAAGGACCAAATTAATATAATATGCAAGTAAGAGTGACCGGACGTGTAATTATACCAAAATCTATAACTACCATGTCACCATTTCTGATAAATGTTAACGACTAGTGGTTTGATTGAATACAATTAAATAGTTATATGGTTTGATTGACAAAATTGAATGATCAGTGATAATAATAAAATGGCTAAATAGTTGGATGGTCAATGGTATAGTTTATCCTAAAATATATGATAACTTAATGGTGCATTTGTCCCCTAAACTATACCATTTATATTGAGTTGTCCTCTAAGAATATTTTTTTGAGACAATTTGCCCTAAAGTTTAATTTGTTACCTCATTTGCCCAAATAATTAACTCTAAAACCCACGTGGGTAAATTACATATTTAGTCACTCAACTTTTCATGCGATTCTATTTTGGTCTTCAAACTATTTTTCTTTTCAAAATCATAATTAAACATAAGTTTTTGTTCCATTTTGATCACTCAATTCAATCTGACTTATTTTTAAATTTATAATATATAATAATTTATTTATATAATGATATTTTTTACTCAAAACATAATTTTAATTTATAGAGCCCAATAGATGTCTGTTCTTTTTGTTACGAGAAATTGCCCAATTGCATTCTCATCTTGAAACAAACCTAGAAAATGAGTATAAAATCCAAGGATCAATCTCACTAGCCGGTCAATCATTTTGGCGAAGGCCGGTTAAAGAATACGGGAAAAAGATGCAGATTTTCGTGAAAACCCTAACCGGCAAGACAATAACTCTCGAGGTCGAGAGCAGCGACACCATTGACAACGTCAGAGCTAAGATCCAAGAAAAGGAAGGTTCGTTTTCCCCAAAAAATTTCATTTCAATTCATCTTAAAACCAAAATTCACCTTCATGCACTCACAGGCATCCCTCAGGACCAACAACTTCTCATTTTGGCCGGTAAACAGCTCGAAGATGGTCGTACTTTGGCAGACTATAACATCCGGAAATGTTCCTCTTTCGGGTCTTCTTCTTTTTATTTCCATTTTAACTTTTTATCTCATTAAGATACTCAATTAGTTTTTTTTCTTTTCAGGATGTAGAATCAACACTTCATCTTGTTTTAAGGCTGAGAGGTGGAATCATTGAGCCTTCTTTGATGGTTTTGGCTCGTCGCAAGTAAGATCCTTCATCTGTTCTTTGGTTCTATTTAATGATTATGTTTTAGTGTTTTAGTCTCTACTGTGGACCAGTTAAAGGCGAGTAAGAAAGAGTGGGAGCAAGAAAAATCTGCATAGCTAGATGAGATTTCTTCGCTGCAGACGAGGTTAGATTCGTAGATCCAAAGAAAATGCTAAACCATAATAGGAAAGATAAAAGAGAGGGGATTGGAACATTAATTTAATAATATTTTATTAAAATTTGAAGTTTGAATAATTTAATTGTTATTGATCAATTATACTATAATATTATTTATTATTATAAATGAAATTTATGTTTTGAGTAAAATAAATGTGATATAAATTAGTTTTCATATATTGTAAATTTAAAAATAAATCAGATTGAATTGAGTGATTAAAACGAAACAAAAACCTAAGCTTAATGATGAATTTGAAAAGAATAATAGTTTGAAGACCAAAATAAAATCGCATGACTAGTTGAGTGACTAAATATATACATTACCCAGTGTTTTTTTAATACGGTTAATGGTTTAGAACAAATGAGGTAACGATTTAAATTTCAAGGAGCACAACATCTCGAAAAATACTTTATATATGGAGCAACTCAGTACAAATGATATAGTTTAGGAGACAATAGTACATTTAAACCTAACTTAAAATATCTTACCCAAAAATATAATAGAAAATATTTTTATAATTTTAAAAATAAGTTAAAGATTTTCTTATAATTTTATAAATATTTTGATTTTAAAAAAATATTATTTAAAAATATTAAAAAGAGAAAATAACTTTAGTGACCGAAAATGCCTTATAATATACGATTTTAACCAACTTTTTTTGGATTTTCGAAAATGACCAACAAATTCGCAACACAGAAGTTAAAGTGCGTTTATTTTCGCAACGTGAATTTTATTTTCGAATTCGAAACACAATATTAATTTCGTAACACAAATGTAAACAATATAATCGCAACTCATAACCTAAAACCCTAAATCGTAACTCAATCTCATCTCCATCTCTCACTCTCTACGGCGACATCCATCCCCATCTTCGACGACATCCGTCCCCATATCCGACGACCCCCCTCTATCTCCATCTCTCAGAGCCACCCTCACAACCATTCACGTCCACAAAATGAAAAATCAACCACCGAGGGTTAGTTTTTTTAATTTTTTAAATTTTAATTTTTTTATTATTAGATTTTTCATATTTAAATTGATGCTAAATTTACTGGTAATTTCAATATATAGATTAACCATTTCACTTAGATTGCTTAGTAAATTCATTCGGTTGCTGCCAATACTGCTAAATTATTTAGTCTTTAACCCTGTGAAGTTAGTATTTGTCTTTTAGTTGAAGTAATACAATTCATTCAAGTTTTAATTTGCAGAAGAATAGTTTTTGAAACTTAAATTCGCAACACGAAAATGAAATTCACAACACGAAAATCGCAATGCGATTTTAGTTTCGCGTTACGATTTTCATTTTCGCGTTGCGATTTTCATTTTCGTGTTGCGAATTTAAGTTTCAAAAACTACTCTTCTTCTACAAATTGAAACTTGAATGAATTGCATTACTTCAACCAAAAAACAAAGACAAATACTAACTTCTCAGTGTTGTGAATTTAAGTTTCAAGAATAAACTACTACTCTTTATGTTGTCCTTGAACCTTCACTAAACCTATATGTTGTCCTTTTAAATGTGATATAAGTGCTTACTTCTGGAATGTTATCTGATGCATTTTGTGAACTATAATAGAATAATGACTTGGGTGAATACAGTGCTAGTTTGAAACATATTTGGCTATATTTTTCCCTGTTTAATATCATATCTGTTCATAGTGTATAATTTGTAGTTTTTGGTATATCTAACTTGGTATGTTTATTGTTTTTGTTAGGAATTTTTTTCGGCTTCATTGACTTTAAGGAATAAATTAAGCATAGCCACTACAATTGCGTCGACGCTTACACCTATACAAAGAAATTTGTTTGAGAAAACTTGTTTCGGGCCATGGCTGAAATTACAACATCCAGGTGGAGATGCTATGTTGACCCATTTGTTTCTTCAGACCATGACTAACGATCTACCCGAGAGGATACAACGTGGTGATGAAGAGATATGGTTTCATTTTCCACCAGCGTATACTTGTTTTGGGCGGGAGGAGTTTTGCTTAATCACTGGTCTACGTTTCGGACGACACGATGAAGTAGGTCGGTACACTAGTCATATCGCCCGCCTATCATGGTTATTTCGGGTTTTTCCTGAGCTGGCAAAGGCGAAGCCCAGTTTACACGTCGACGATTGTAAAAGATTACTTCTTAAAAATGGTTTTACTCGGATGGATGACCTTGATGTTGTCCGAGTATGCCTTTTATTACTTTTGAATGCCAACTTTTTAGGCAAAGAGGGCAGATAACCTATTTATAAGGATTTAATATTATTGGTAGAGGACCTAGATGCATGGAACGTGTTTTTCGTGGGGTTCATATCTATGGAAAGCTACCTGGAAAAAGTTGTCAACTGCCTTTGAGGACAATCGTAGTTTGCGTGGCCATGGTTCCAAATACACTTTGGTAGGATTTATTTGGTCCTTTAAGGTAAGAATTTTTATATATAATATTTCCAAAATTATAATTAATTATTTAACAATTACTAAAATTACTGTTTGTGTATTATATTGTTTGTAGATTTGGATATTTGAGGCTTTTCCCAAGATGCAGACATATGCCATCAAAAAGTCAAATGATATTCCTAAGGTTATTACTTGGAGGAGGATCCGACTGTTGGATTGGGAAGATTTAATACCATATATGATGATGAATGATGTAAGTTAACACAAATACTACCATATATAAACAAGTTATTACTAGTAGACGTTTGACTTTGTTTGAGTTTTTATATTGTTAGGAGGCAAACTATCCATTATAGAGGCTGAGCTTGCCACTGATTGGTGGCAAGCTAATAAGCATTTTTTTGATGGGACGGATGATGAGCACCCCCACTTCGAGAGCCATCACATGATCGAGTCGATTCTACAGCTCGACACCCAAAGCCATCACCTGATCGAGCCAATTATACACCTCCACAACGAGAGCCATCACCTATTCCATCACAACATTGAGCCTCTTCTCCACCATCACCTCATGATAGGCGACCGGCAAAGATTCCACGAAATTTATCTCACTGTTTTCCACCTCCACGGGATGATTTAGGGGAGTTACGTGATGAGGTCAGTACTTTACGTGATGAGGTCGGTACTTTACGTGACAACAATGGTGCATGGCGTGATGAGGTACGATCTTTATGTGGTGATGTAGATGTTTAACATGATGAAAATGGTGCTTTACGTGGTGAGGTATCTACTTTACGTGATGAGGTAGCCACTCTACGTGAGATTATTTTATCGTTACAGAATGAGGTTCATACTCTACGCAATGAGGTAAGTTTGTTTAATATTATACTAAAAATGAAAATAACCTTTTTTTGATATTATTTATTTATTTATTTATTTATTTATGTATTAATTTATTTTTAGCGGCCTGATAAGGTAGATGTTTTACGTAAGGTTTTTCTTGTATGATGGGGTTCACGCATCAAACGTCGTGCACATGCCATTACATCTCCTTTCACCTCAATAGTTCCAAGACTCCGTAAGAAGAAGCTCGATTCACCTGTCATCATTCAAGAGGCCCCTCATATCATTCAAGAGGCCCCTCATATCGTTCAAGAGGCCTCTCATTGTTCAAGAGACCCCTCTCATCGTTCAAGACGCCCCTCCCACCGTTCAAGAGCCCGATTCACATGGCATACTATGTCGACTTATTGATAAACCCCCTCACGTGCCCAGTATGATGGACCAAAGTTGGCTTTTGTATCAGTTACCGGCCAGTACCATTCCTCAGCAAGAGAGGAGAACACTGCCGGACACAATTATGGATAATACCCTTTGGGCTAAGACCGCAGTTGATTTTTATCTACATGAGCGAGCTAGGGGTGCTATGTTGATATATGCAAAATCGACGATGATATGCATTTGTTTCTTGATCGGTCTTGGTGGGGTATTTTATTAGGGGTTGAAGAGAATGACTATTTTGAATGAGGGTAAGTCTTATATTATTCTTATATTGCATTTTGATTATTTTTTTAAAAAATTTATTAAATTCACTAATTATATGTAATTTTTTATAAAACAACATATTGATGCATGAGTGTCACGTCTTCTAATTATAAGGAAATTGAAGAAAATAAAAAAGACGCGATGGACTATTATGCCTTCGTCTTTTCACGTAGCTCACTTGAAGGATCAGAGAGACGCTTTATATGCATTGGGTAATGGAAAAGTTATCCTTTATCCTGCGTGGTGGGAGGTCGATAAGGTTAGTATTTATTTTTGAATATTTTAAAGGTGTTCATAAATTTTATTTGATGTGTGCAATTGAATTATTATTTATGATTGCAGGTGTTTATCCCTGTTATGGAACGTCGTCATTGGCTTCTCGTCGAGCTTCAGCTCCCATCCATGAAGATGATATTATTTGTAAGGGATGGAGCGCTCATTTGGCTAAATTCTTGGATGCGATTGATTATTGGACTAATTGAGGAAACAAGAAGCCAAATAAGTTAAAAGTTACAATAATAAGAGATGAGGCAGCGCCACAACAAACGGCGGGAGCCAGAGGGGATTATGGTCCTCTTGTATGTATGTGCTTGGAACGTATGACAACAAGAGGTAAGCAGTTTCTACCTCCCACAGATAGAGATAGAGGTGCAGTAGGGTTATGGTTTCGGTATTTTATGGCTAGAGCGAAATATTCGAGACGTTACTTACCTGCATCTGCGTGCTGAAAGTGTGCATAAAAAACCATTTGTTATTGGTAAATTTGAGCAAGTGTTGTTAACATATATACTATTTGTTGGTTTGAAAATATTTGGTTAAGTACCTAAAATTCAATAATTTTTTTTGTTTGTTGGTTTTAGATGTGTAGAAAATCT